TGTCAGATTCAACTCTGATTTAGTATCTGTTACTTTCTCAAGTTGCTGTAAAATTTGCTAGATGCTATTCTCAATTTCTGTATCTTTCTCATCACCGACTTGTACCAGCTTGCATGGCACAGCATTTCACAGCATATAACTCGTCTCTAAATCTCTTTCCCATTCCTAAGAATGGGTTGCTTAAGATTATTTTTGCTTACTCTCTTTTCTGGTGGCTTCCTATTGAAAAGAGCTCTGGGGAACAGGGAGCCTGCTACATCTTATTATGTTGCTTCTTAAAAAGAAAAGTTTATATCAAAAAGTATTTCTAGCCCTAGCTGGTTTGGCTTAGTGGTTAGAGCTTTGGCCTGCGGAATGAAGGGTCCGAGGTTCGATTCCAGCCAAGGGCATGTACCTCAGTTGCAGGCTCGATCCCCGGCCCTGGTTGGGGCTCATGGGGGAGGCAACCAATCGATGTGTCTCTCTCTCCCCCCGCTCTCCCTCCCTCCCTTCCACTCTCTCTAAAAGCAATGGAAAAATATCCTTGGGTGAGGATTTTTTAAAAGTTATATGGAAAAATAAAGGTCCAGATAGAGCAAAAATAATTACAAAAAGAAACAAACAAACAAACAGGTAAAAAAGAAAAAACCAAGTTGGGGAGAATTTATCTGATTTTTAAAAACAAAGTTATACTAACAATATTGAAGCTGGCATCAGACCCATGAGAATGTGGGAATTTAGTTTATGACATGTGTAGGTGGGAAGGGTTATTCAAAAAATGATATTGGGATGAATGGCTTTCCATATTGGGACAATATATAATAGATTTCAACTTCATCAATGAGGAAGAATAAATCCCATCTGATCAGAGACCTAGATTTGGAAAACAAAATTTTAAAAGCTTTAGAAGCCTACCTTTTGATCCCAGTATAGGTAAATTTCCTAAAGAATTCTCCAAATAAACACAAACCACATAGGAAGTGACTGATACATTTGACTCCCTCAAAATTAAAACATAGATATGACTAAACTGACCAAAATTTAAATTAAAATAAGAAATAAACTGGGAAAGGGATTTGCTATATAGATAACAGTATGGTCATTATAAAAATTTTACAAATTAATAAGAAGTAGACAGCTTTTCCCTACCCAAAAAGGGAAAAGGGTATGAAAAACTCATTCATAGGTGAGGAAAACCCAATACATAATAAACATGAAAATATATTAAATATCACTAATAATCAGGGAGATGCAAATGAAAATAATTAGATAACATATTTTATCCATCAGATTGGAAAAATTTATAAATTCTAATAATATCAAGTATTAAATGAATATGGAGAAATGATATCTTTGTTCAGTAATAATGAGAATGTAAATTGGTGCTTTTTGGAGCAATTTGGAAAGAAGAACTGAAGCTGAAAATGCACTGGCCCTGGGCAGGTAGCTCAGTTGGTGAGAGCATCCTGATTGCCAAGGTTGCAAGTTTGATCCCTGGTCAGGGCACATATAAGAATCAGCCAGCCCAGCTGGAGTGGCTCAGTGGTTGAGCATCAGTCCATGAGCCAAGAGGTCACCGGTTTGATTCCCGGTCAGGGCCTATGTCTTGGTTTGGGGCTTGATCCCCAGTAAGGGGCTTGCAGGAGGCAGCCTGTTGATGTTTCTCTTTCATCGATGTTTCTATCTCTCTATCGCTCACCCTTCCCCTCTCTCTAAAATCAATGAAAAAATGTATTTTTTAAAATTAGCCAAGGCATGCATAAATAAGTAGAACAACAAACTGATATTTCTCTCTCTCTCCCCCGTCCCCCTTCCTTTCTCTAAAATCAATAAATAAAAATTATAAAGAAAAGATAATGCACATAGTACACAACTCATTAGTTTTTTTTCTATTTACCCTATGGAAATGTTTATGCATGTACACAGGAGATGTGTATAAGGACATTTATTATACACATTATTATTTGTATCAAAATGCTGAAAATAATCTAAATGCTGGTCAAAAGAGAGATGTTTCAAAAAAATTGTGATGTTGTCTTATTATAGAATACCATACAGTTAAAATAAATAAAATATATTTCTTCATATACATGAATCAGATCCCAATGTTGTGTAAATAAGAGCAACTTTAAGGACACTTGAAATGTTTATAAATTTTTTTTTAAGCAGAGGAGCATTTGAGATCTTGCTCCCCCAGCATATGCCATTAGTTTGGCTCAAATTAACTCATAAAAATTCAAAAAAAATGTTTAAAAGGACACATGTACTGTGATATCTTACACATATGTATTTGTTTTGTTTTGTTTGTTAATTCTCACCTGAGGACATTTTTTTCCATTGACTTTTAGAGAGACTGGAAGGGAGGGAGGAGAAGTGAGAGAGAGAGAGAGAGAGAAAGAGAGAGAGGGAGAGAGAGAGAGAGGGAGAGAGAAACACTGATGTGAGAGAGACACATTGATTGGTTGCCTCCTGCACACGTCCCAACTGGGCCCGGTCAATCCAGGTACTTGCCTTGACAAGGAATCAAACCCTTGACCCTTTGGTCCACAGGCAGACATTCTAACCACTGTGCAACACCATCCAGGGCTCAGTTATATATTTTTAAAGTACATATGCAAACTGTTAACAATCATCATTTCTGGGTGTTGGGAACACAAGTGTTAGTTTTATCATTTTCTTATTAAAATTTTTCTCAAAATAAAAATGCAAAAAAAGAACAAGTAGGGAGCAGTTAATTGTTCCAAGTGTCATTCGTAGGTCAGATTAGATAAGAATTGAACATTGTGCATTGGACTTAGCAATTACATCAGTAACAAATAAGTGTTAAGGGCACCTGTTAAGTGCAAGACATTTTGACATGTCACAGAATGGGGAAATAGGCCTAAAGAGGCAAGATAAAGCTTTCCCAACTTTGACTTTAGAGATTTTATTTACATGATGATAGTGGTGGTGGTGGTGATGGTGATGGGGATGGTGAATGTTTCAATAAGCCATATTCTGTCAACATAAAAATCTCAAATCTCCTATAACAACTAATTGCAAACTTTCTGTTTAGGTAGGGTTTTTGGATCGTCAGAGGACATTGGCCTTACTGGAAACATTCTATGACCAAAGTCCAAAAAATCTTAGACGTTTACTCCGAAACCCAAGGCAATGTAAGTGCCACTCAGAGGGAGTATGCTCAAACTGAAATGATGAAGTACACTAATATGATAATACGAGGCCATTCTATCCCTGTGGCATTTCTTTGCGTAATGTCTCCCTTAGATCATGTTATCTACATCTAGCCGTTCATGCCCCACAAAATTCACTCTTCATCACGACCAGATGTATTTTTTACTTCAGTTCAATACTAAAAGTTGTCACGCTAGAACTCAATTTTAAGTTCACTCAAATGAAGAACTGTTTTAGTAACAATCAGAATGTTTCAGAAATTAAGTTGGTAGTGGTAATTCCAGTTTTAATGTCCAACTTAGAATTCTAAGATTTTGAAGAAAAATGTTTCCTTTTCCCAAGCATTTTTACTGATACACCTTTACTGTACTTACACAGTGACATTTATTTATTTTTTTATATTACTACCTAAACGAATAGGACTAGAGGTCTTATTTTTATTTTATTTTTAAGAGAAAACCATTGAATGGATGGGTTTTCCAAAGAACGTCAGTATTTTATTTCTGTGTGTTAACTTGTTACTTGGGTACTTAAAAATCTGTAGATGATGTACATAGAGTATTCCCTAAAACTGTGGGAGACACAATTTCATAGCTTAAGTGCTAAATGTTTTAGAAGGGAGGAGAGCAGTCTTATGGCACGGTCCCACCCTCTGCAGTCCAGGACACCAGCGTTGTCTTGGTGTTCTTTTTTAACAGTGGGATTCTGGTGAATGCTATTCAATCTTTCCCTAGAATTCTGAGCCAGGTGTCCACATAAGTTGTGGAGGAAAAGAGTTGATGAAGAAGAAAGAAAGGTAGAGAAGAAGGAAAGGATAGAAAATGAATGTTGGAAAAAATAGCCCAGCGAAAAATTGTCATGGATAGAGACATGCTTTTATTTTGATACTGCAGATATTGGGAAGGTATTTGAGGTGGAGACATGTGTTCCCTTCCTCATCCCATGCTGGCCTTGTTGTGGGAGGACCAAAAGCAGGGAATACATTGTATTTGTCTTGGCAGTTTAAGCAGCTCTCCAACTAGCAAAAGAGGAATCATGTTCACTTTTAAAACCACACCGTTTAGGAAGGGATGCTTTCTAATTCACAGTCGTGAGCATCCTTTATGTTCAACTGGATACCTTTTTGGTTTTTGTTGTGTTTCAGGGAAAGGTAACTGATATTTACTTAAAGCAATAGCCCTATATTATAATCACTGTGCTCAATGTTTTGTTTTTTGTTGTTTTTTGTTTGTTTGCATTAATTTACTAGTTGCGATTCTTCATTATAAGATCAATTGTTTAGGTAAATGGTTTTGGTTTTTGTCTTTGCATTAGGGCCATTTATTGAATTTGAAGAGATAGAGCTGCCTGAGTTCTGGGGAGACATGGATAATCAGAAACACATTTATGAAGACTTTGACAATGTGCTCTTAGAGATGAATACATCACTGTCTGAAAAGCATGCTAGAAAAAAACAAAGTAAATTGTTAAAAAATATAGAAGATCAACACAAACATGATAAACATAAAAAATCAACACTATTAGAAGAGCAGAGAGGGACAACTGAAGGACAAGACCCAAACAAAACTTTAGTGGAAGAACAAGACTCAGAGTCGATTGGAGAACAAGAACCGCACAGGGAACAGGTAACAGCACAGGGACAACACAAAGGGTCAACAGCGCGGCAAGGGTCACGCAGAGGACCACGCAGAATGTCAGTGACAGAAGAACCACATACAGGGCCAGTCACAGAACGAGGATCACACAGAGGATCACGCAGAATGTCAGTGATAGAAGAACCGCAAAGACAGTCAACTGAAGAACAAGAATCGCACAGAGAGTCAGGGACAGAACAAGGAGCACACAGAGGGTCAACTGCAGAAGAAGAACCTCAGAGAGAGCCAGTAACACAAAGAGGATCCCGCAGGGGATCCCGCAGGATGTCAGTAACAGAAGAGCCACACAGAGGGTCAACGGATGAAGAAGGATCACGCAGAGAGTCACTAGCTGAACCAGGATCACGCAGGGGATCCCGCAGGATGTCAGTAATAGAAGAGCCACATAGAGGGTCAACGGATGAAGAAGGATCACGCAGAGAGTCACTAGCTGAACCAGGATCACGCAGGGGATCACGCAGGATGTCAGTAATAGAAGAGCCACACAGAGGGTCAACGGATGAAGGATCACGCAGAGAGTCACTAGCTGAACCAGGATCACGCAGGGGATCACGCAGAATGTCAGTAATAGAAGATCCACATAGAGGGTCAACCGATGAAGAAGAATCACACAAAGAGTCACTAACACGAAAAGGACCACACAGGGGATCACGCAGAATGTCAGTAGTAGAAGAGCCACATAGAGGGTTGATTTCAGAAGAAGAATCTCCTAGAGAGTCAATTCCAGAGGAACAGGACATAGCCTCAACTTCACAATCAAGGGAAGGTAGTATCTTAATCCCTCCGCAGGGGTGGCAAACCTTTTTTTTCTGCCAAGGGCCATTTGGATATGTATAACATCATTCTCGGGCCATACAAAATTGTCAACTTAAAAATTAGCTATGATAAAAGCTCCTAGATTCATTGAATTTCGAGTCCTGCCTGCGGTTGCCTTGGCAGGGCCAGACCAAATGATTTTGCAGGTCACATACATCTATTCATGATTTCTGAACTGCAAGAGTAAGATCCAGTATCAAGTAGAAGACATCATCTTTCAAGTAGTAATGCAGTTCTCCTACAATTATATCTCTGTTTTGTGGAGTGGTTTTTAAAGTCTTCAGGAAACACCTGTTTCAATGAGAATCTTTTCTGGAATATCAGGTCATGCAAATATCAGACATATTTTGCTATTAAGCATGAGTCTAGGCCTTGACCAATCAATTAAATGCAAACCAGAAAGTCTTTATTGTCTAGAATTCCTTTTGTACTAAAAATCCGCTTGTAAGGAAGAAATCTGGTAATTTTGTTACATATAGAAATTTTCACTGAACCTCTGAAAAGGCAGTAGAAGCCCTTTTGTTTTAAATGTGGTGTCTGATATTAGAAACCACTTCTAAAAATTTCTTTTATTTCAACTATAAAATGGATCTTGCTTTTTTCAGTTGTATATATTTCTAGAAAAGTTTCTGAAAGCCACATTTAAGACACCTGCAGTTCAAATGCTTATTCTGCACAAGACTTTTCCTCTGAATTGCCTATTTATGACCTTTTTTGAAAATTCTAACTTTTTAGAGCGCCAATCTCAATACCACTGAAGACATCAGTTAGGCATAAGTTTTTTAAAATTCTGCTCTTTAATTCTACAATCCCCCTCCCCCCCCAAACTTCTTAGAGATGGGTAAGCTGTGTTCTAGATTCTACACTATCACCAACTAATTTGAAATCTTTTCTTTTTTTGAGCATTATGTTTATTTCTCCACAAAACAGAGCTACTAATTTCTGGCTCTCCTGACATAGGAATGTAGCTTTAAAAAATTAGTGAAGTTACTATTCAATCAGATGTTATGCTAGTGAGGACTTAATTTTGTCGATGTGTAACAGTATTCCAAAATGACAGTGTCTGGAAAAACATTAACAAAAACAAAACAAAGCAACAGTGTTTAAATAAGATAGGAGTGTCTTTCTCATATAAAAGTCAAAAGTTCTATGACAGCTCAGTTCCATGAAATCAGCAGTGGCTCAAGCTCCTTCTGTCTTGTGTCTCCTCCAACCACATGGCCAAGATGGTTTACTGCCATGTCTACCTTCTGACCAGCTGGTAAGGAGAAAGGAAAATGGGTAAGCATAGTATCGCTTCCCTTCACAAATCATTGGTCAGTATGTAGGAATTTAGTGACACCTAAATGTGAGGGAGGCTAGGAATTGTAGCCCTCATTTTGCGTGGCCAAATTGGGGTTCAACAAATAGCTTTTGTCCAAGAGCTGCTCTCAACAACTAGAGTTATTAAGCCATATCATTGTGGTTGATTCTGACACAACATATATGGGAAAGCACCTGAAAGAAAGTTTTTGGTGTTCTATATGCCAAGGCATTTCTCTTAGTCATTAACTTAAGAATATATAATGTCCAACTCATAGGCATTTTCTTTTGTACCTTTCAGCAACTGCAAAGAAGAAAGCTCAGAAAGACAAATCCTGTGAACCCAAGTCCCAAACAATAGAAGGAAAGCCATGGACAGGTGACTCACTTAACCCTCCTTTCATTTATACTCTAGAACAAAAACATTATGAAAATGAAGTTAAATTGCCTGTGTTATGTGGAATGTGTTTTTTATAGGTGAACTTTTGACTTGTAACTTGAAGAAGCATGCCAAAAGTGAAGATGAGGAACAGGCAAACTTAATCTATGGTAACGCCAAGTTCACAGGTACATGTTAACAACAAAATTAGAACGGATAGATCCCAGTCTGATGAATTTAACTTATTGTGGCACCCCATGATAAAGATTGGACTTAGCCAAGACGCAACACCAAGGTGAACTTGCATTATTTTGTCCCTGAGCTGATGGATCTAAACATACACAAGATGAATGTTTTTAGTGGTAGCACTTGATGAATGTTCTTAAAAACATATGCATTAGTATACAGGGTTTGGGGTTTTGTTTTGTTTTTATAATTACATGGTCCAACAGCTTTTAAGCTATGATTGAGGTATACAAAGGGAATCAAATATTAAACATTACTACTCAATAGAAATAATTTCAGCTATTCCTCTCCCTGGTAGTTTCACATCCAAACATGTGAGACAGGTGAGAATATAAATTGTTTTTGAAGACTCATAAAGATCTACTCAACAGAGATCAAAGACTAGCTTTTAGCTCCCAGATAAACTATGTATTTAACAGTGAGTGTTCCAATAAGTACTCATTTTACCATAATGCTATTTTATCATTTTACCTTTCATTGACACATAGTAGAACTAATTAGATCAAGATTATTTTCTCTTTTTTTAATCTTTATTGTTGAGAGTATTACAGATATCTCCCTTTTCCCCCCCTTGCCCCCACCGCTTGTTTCCTGCCCCCTCCCTTCCTGCAGGCCTGCACCACCCTATTGTCTGTGTTCATGAAACACACACACACACACACAACTGTGAACTTAAGACAGCCACTAGAAGTTGCTTTATTAATTAATTAATTGATTTTTAAAAAAGATTATTTTCTTCCTATCTGAAATTTTTAAAAATTTAAGTCTGGGTCAAATAATAAACTTTTTATCCTCAAAATATTTTGGTGAAAGTGCATGGCATTAGTCAAGCTCTTTTTTTTTTTTTTTTTTTACCATATCTTTATTGATTTCAGAGAGAGGAAAGGAGGGGGGGAGAGAGAGAGAAACATCAGTGATGAGAGAGTCATTGATCGGCTGCCTAGCCTGCAACCTGGGCATGTGCCCTGACCGGGAATCAAACCCCGATCTCCTGGATCCTAGGTCGATGCTCAACCGCCGAGCCACACCCAGCCAGGCTAGTCAAGCTCTTGTGGCCTACTAGTTCATGTTCTTCTTCTCCTGGCCTTACTTCTTTATTTCAATTTTGCTTTACTATTTGGAAAAAATCCCACGAGTGATTATTTTTAAGTTATGTCAAATCTCATATGGAAGTCATAAGGGCATAAATAATTAAATCGAACATAAGTCACTGGGTTAAAATTTTATGAATTATGCTGCATGTTATAACATTGAGTTTCATGATAAATACTGTAAAGACTCTTTCGGGGAGAGATCGTAATGGTGGTATTTACAGACTTATTTAACTGGCAAGTCCAGATTGCAACTGGCCTCAGGCACAACTGAATCTAAGTCCTCAACAATAGCAGCAGGGCACTGTCTCTCTGCCTCTCAATCCTGTTCTTCTCTGGGTCATTTTCAGTTTTAGGTTGTTTTTTCATGTTATGACAAAGATGTCCATGAGAGTATCTCTAAGCCTACATCCTACCAGTTCAGGAATCAGAGTACAAAAAAAGGGGTTCTTCCTCCAATAGTTCCCCCAAAAGTTCTAACTCTCATTGGCCTATAGTGGATTATATTGTTGTTATATATATATATATATATATATATATATATATATATATATATATATATATATTTTTTT